ATCTAATCCATCTAACCTCTCCTCCTCCCAGATCCGTAAATGTAATAACCTCATCCGACAAAACACACGCAAACTCGACCGCGACATCATTTCCCTCAAAGCCATCGAAAACAAAACCCGCAACCTCATCATCGCCTCCAACAAACGCGGCCAACGCAACCCCTCGCAAGCCAAACAAGCCGCCCAAGAAGCCCGCATCTTCGCGCGCGAACTCATCCGCACACGAAACACCTCGCGCCGACTCGTAACATCGAAAGCTCAACTACAGAGTGTGAATATGCAAGTCAATGAAGCGTTTGCGGTACGCAAGATTGAGGGCAGTATCAAGGCCAGTGTGGGAATTATGAAGGATGTGAATAGTTTGGTGCGGTTGCCGGAGTTGATGGGAACAATGAGGGAATTAAGTCAGGAGTTGGTCAAGGCGGGCATTATTGAGGAGATGGTGGGGGATATGATGCCGGATCAGATGGAGGAGGAGGAGGAGGAGGCCGAGGGCGAGGTGGATAAGGTGCTGGGGGAGATATTACAGGATCGGATGGGGAAGGTGGGCGCGACGCCAAATTTGCCCGCAGCGCCAGTACAGCAGGAGGAGGTTGCGGAGGAGGAAGACGAAGATGCCGAGGCTATGCTGAATCAGATGAGGGGAAGGTTGGAGGCATTGAAGAGTTAAGCGGCGGGAACATAGGAACGGGGTTTTGTATACCTTATTTGGAGTCTGGGTGTGGGAGTTTCGGTTGGAGTTGTATATGTTTAAAGGCATCTTCTCCTGGCATGGATCAATTATACAGAAGTATTGTTCAGAAACTTCTTCCTGATCTATTTCGTCTAGGCATGTCTATACCATGCTTCATAATATTAGGCACGTCTTTTACACAAGCTTGATTAGAATTCTAGATAGAATTAAGAAAGGCAGAATATCTAGTAAACGAAGCGTTATTGAAAAAAACTAATACACTTTGGCCCTTGAATAATCAGTATACAACACCGTCATTCTGCTTTTCACACGAAACCCTATTCATCACTTGGTATAGTATCCTTTTCTCATCATTCCCCATTTCCAGCACACATACATTTCACAAATGCACGAGTGAGTACTGTAAAGCAAAACACCAATACCGATGATAATACCAATACTAACATCAAAATCAAAATTCTAAAATCTGTTAATTTAACACTAGGTATTATCGACCAATTAGATATATATTAAGACAGTATCTTATCTTTCCATTGTCTGTTTATATATACTTCATCTCATCTCATCTCAGTTACATTCGCTTTCACATTCACATTCACATGATTGATACCTCATACACATACTGTACTCGAGTACATGATATCGGATCAGATAGGATAGGACAGCATATGATATAATAGGAAACCGAAACTCCTCCCCTATACCCTATACTACTCTACTCTACTCTACTCTACTCTACCCTCTACCTACTATCATGCTCTGTACAATTTCATACAATTTCACCCCATCACATCTCACCCTATCACATCTCAGTAGCCTGAGACAACAAACAAAACAAAACAGTTCAAATCTATTATTTCCACAAGTATTTCAGTATTTCAAATATTTATATATGTGATCTATATCTACCTATATTTTTCTTTCTTTCCTATTTCTTTTCTTTGTCTAGATATACTTGGATCTATTGTGCTTATTTGTAAGATATACTATAGTAAGTAGTGTAAATTGGTGTAGTGTATACTGGTGTAAACTGAAAAAAATTATATTAGGTATACTGTATTATAGTATGATATAGTATAGTAAAGTAAGTAAGGGAATTTCGAGTTGAGATGGATTGAGTGGATGTGATATGTATAAATAATGGATAGATAGATGTGCAGTAAGGTAGGTATGCCGATTCAACAGCAAGAATATTTATACACCGGTAATCACATGCTAAACTGCAAAGAACCAGAGATACTCGATACATATACCAAGAACATTGAGGATAGTACCATTGAGGATATTACTTTGTGGTGTATTCGCTTTTATATTCCATAATTCCATATACACCTTCTTTCTCCCCTCCATCTTCGTCCTGCATATTCATCTACGTCTACATCTACGTCTTATGTACGGAGTGTTCGTCTATCCTATTCTATTCTATTTATACCACGCCTTTACCCAAAAGAAACCCCAGGGAATAATCCAAAATATCAATATTCCCTTGACCTACCAAGTTCCCAACGCCGATCAAGTTCGAATTGGTGTTATGGTTTCACCATCCAATTAAAGATGTATAGTAAGTACCCCTTCTATCCCAATTGCTTCGCTCGCTCTATCCAAATCAATGCACTGTCCTCCCCTCCCCTCGCCTCTCGTTCCTCTACCTCAACCTCCTATCCGTATCCGTATCCTTAACCATCCACACCACCCCCTCATCCCTCAACCAAGCGCCCTCCAAATCCCCCTGCAGCCCCGGGCTTACTGCCCCGGGGCTTCTCATACCCAGATCTCTATCCTCCACCCTCGCCTCTTTATTATACTCATGTTCATCCATCAACACCTCATACCCCTGTTGACCCGGTCTCCTATCAAACCAATATTGCACTCTCGTGCCTTCCCAAAGTCTTTGCCATCCATTCCCCCCACTCACACCTGTCGAATACGCTCTGTCGATTTTCTGGAGACTCCTGTAGAAGAGCGAGAATGCAAATGCGCTGTAGGCTAGACCTCCTAAAAGGTCTATGCGCCAATGATGGCGCAAATACATGGTCGAGAACCATTGCCACAGAACGTAGAAGCCGAGGATGAAGGTTCCTTTCTTGGAGTAGCGACCGATGAAGAAGAAGCAGCAACAGCTGAAAGCCCCATGCAAAGAGGGGAATGCGCCGAAGACGAGCGGTGACGCTTTGAATGCGTTGGCATAGATGTGGGTCCCTAGAACACTGTCGACTCTGACGAGTCCAGCTGCTGAGCCGGGCATGTTGTAGTTTCCTGGTGGAAGGGGATAGCCGTATTGGTCGCCGTACCAGGGAGCAGCAGATGGGAAGGAAAGATGGGTTATGATTCCTAGACAATTTTGGATACCGAAGGACCAGCCGAACATGGAAACAACGCCTGGAGGTGCAAAAAGCCAGAGCCAAAATCCGGCGGCGAAAGGAGAGATAAAGTGAATGACGCCGTAAGAGAGCCAGGCGAAAACATCAAGGGGCTCCGAGAGCTTGTGGGAGAGCGCGTAGAGGATGTTGAGGAGTAGAGGAGGTAGTCCAGCTAATATTGATATCTTCTTTCGAGTGAGTGTATACATCCATAGTATTCCGATCACCGAAAAGGTAAATTGAGATGCCAGTCCGAACATTGAAAATCCAAAAACTCCTTTGTCTAGTATTTCGAGGTAATTGACGTCAATCAGGGGCCGTATTGAGGAGTCGATTCGCCATGCTTTGGAAGATAGAGTTAGCATGGGAATACATGAATTGAGGTGAGGACTATATCAGATTTACCATTCTTGAAAGTCGTTATCCATATAAGAATAAAGGTCATGTTAATTAAGATATGTCTAAGCAAGCCAGAAAATGAATGTCTGCACAAGTATTAGCATTCTATGTATTCAAAGATGGAGATTTTACAAAGATGCATTCATCCACCTACCTATTGAGTAGAGTCCTGTAGACATGAAGAAAAAGTCGCCCAATGGCGTAAAGAACACCCCCCATGATTAATAGAAAGCAAATGTCAAAAAGGAACTCCAAAAAGATTCGAAAGGGAAGATAGACATAACAGATGAAAAGAAATGCAATTAGGGTTAAACTTCAGACCGCGGCCCATTGAGCTCGCCCTAAGGAAAGACTAGGGCATGGTAGTCAAATATACTTATGACGTTGAACCACAAATATACCAACGCACGGGTTAAACTGGTCCTAAATAATGCTTATACTAGTATACCGAGGGAACAAATGCATGGCTCTTCTGCTCATTGGACGATTAAGCCATTTACACGCATGGTACCCCTCGAACATACATATATTTCTTGATATTCCTGTTCTTGAGGGGTGGTGCTAGTCTATATCCGTTAAATTCGTGGGTGATGAAAGGCATGCTAGACTAGGATCTAGATACGTAGGTATTTCTAGTCCAATAGCGACTTCCTAGGGGTGACTTTCAACTTGAAAGTCGAGGGAAAGGGTAGAATGAGTATTCAAAAGTCAAATTCAGGCACACAGTAAGCGTCCAATATTGGGGGGGAGAGGGGGGGTTCAAACCAGTCCATTGATAGTATTGGTCTGTGTTAGACCATGAGTGGAACTCAGGGAGATTGCCCAGTTATGCTCTCTCGGATAATCCGGCGCATTTGAATTTGTCCGCTCCATCATTGATGTGTCTCCATATAGTATACGAGCTTTGAGTCCGGCCGCTCGGGCCGGGCAATAATACTACTCGCCTATAGCTCATAGCTATTATTGCTACCAGCTGTTCACGACCTACCTCACAGCTTATATTATATAGCTGTAGTATTGTAATGATATAAATAATATCTTTATTGTAATTATATATATAATCCATTAATTGATATATAAAACTTATCAAAACTGCAAACCAAAACCTTTAATATTAAGACCCCAAACTATTCTATCTCAATATACAAATATTCTCTTATATCTCAAATTATATTTATATCCCACCTTATCTCTATCAATTAGTTCATATAATCAACTAATAATACAAATATACTAA